TTGTTTGGCGGGTCCGGGCTGGGGATTCGAACCCGCCACCTTAGGTGTACGTGGCTGGCGCCTTAGCCGGTTGAGCCATAGGCGCCGAGCCCATAATGTCTGTTTTAAAGGAAGTACATGTTGATTTTTTTTTAACATTTCTTGCCTGACCTTTATTTATAAATTTAACTAATGAAATTTCCTATTATTTTGTCTAAAATTATAGGGAAAAAATTCTTGGTGCCTTTTTTTTTTTTTTTGCAGTTTTTGGCCAGGGCTGGGTTTGAACCCACCACCTCTGGCATATGGCGACAGTGCCCTACTCCTTTGAGCCACAGGCACTGCCCATCTTTGTGCCTTTTAAAAATGAATTGGCTTAGTATTCTCTGTTCCCTGGATAGTTAATTTGTATTAACTTCCTGTGCTTTAATGTAAAATCTATCTTCATGGTCTAGGTTTAATTTTATAATGATCTATTGAATAATACAACTAATCTCTTAGTATAAAATTGCTGAAACTTTCACTGTGGTAGTATAGACTTTATGACAAGTAATTTAATATCACTTGATAAACAGTTGAGTTAAAGCTATTATTATCTCATGTATTTCTTTTTAATGCAGACGTTGACAGAACTCGTATTGAAATGCTTTGTCATTAAGACCTTGTCTTAATGTGTTTAAATTTATTTTTTACTTAGCTGAATGCAATATTCATACATCGCCTTCTCCGGGAATTCAAGTACGGCATGTCTACACTCCCTCTACAACAAAGCATTTCTCACCCATAAAACAGTCAACTACTTTAACCAACAAACACAGAGGAAATGAGGTTTCTACTACACCTCTATTAGCTAATTGTAAGTATTTGCTACTGATGTATTAAAATAGTCTTGTTACTAATATAGTAGTTTGAAGCATTTGACTTTAAAACATTATTTCCATTAAATGCATATTTTCTGGATAAAGAAAACGTGTATCTACACAATGGAATATTATTTAACCTTTAAAAAGAAGGAATTTCTTTCGTTTGCCACAGCAGGGATAAACCTGGAGGACATTATGCTACGTGAAAGCCAGGCATAGAAAGATTATTATGCCACATCATCTCACTTATATGTGGAACCTAAAAAAGTAGAACTCAGAAGTAGTTACTAGGGGTGGAGGAGGGTCGTGGCTGGGGAAGGGGAGATGTTGAGCAAAGGGTACAAAGTTTCAGCTAGGCAGGCAGGAGGAACAAGCTACGATGACCCAGCACGCAAAATGGACTGTGGAACTATAATAAATAATAATGTATTATATATTTCTAAATTACTAAATGAATAGATTGTACATGTTTTCATACAAAAATGATAAGCATAGGAGGTGATAGATTTTTGTTAATTAGCTTGATTTAATTATTCCACAATGTAAACATATATCAAAACATCACATATGCCACAAATATATATAATTATTGTCAATTAAAAATAAAATTAAATGCATATATCCTCTGTGAAAGCTTAAGTTACATCTGAATAGTTTTTTTTTGTTTTTTTTTGTTTTTTTTTTTTGAGACGGAGCCTCAAGCTGTCCCCCTGGGTAGAGTGCCATGGCATCACAGCTCACAGCAACCTCCAAC